CTTCCACGCGTAGCGATTTATTTTGGCAAAATCGTTCCTGGCAACATTGCTCGTATCCGGGTGCGGATCCACGGCGCTCTCCTCAGTCTCCTCACCAAATGTACTTCACTGTCACCCAGACCCAACTCCTGCCCTTTCCTCCGCGGCTGGCCCCTGCCCTTCGTCAGCGAGACTATTGCTCATTTAAAGACAAACGAGGAGCGCTTGGCTTTGGGCTCTTCTTTCTAATTTATTATTCTTTTTTCCTGACCGTTACGGGGTGGTTTAATAAACCAAACCGCTGTGCCCAGGGAGGGGTGCGACTGCCGGCCCTGCGAGCGGAGCGTGCCAGTTCATCCTTCCCGGGGTCAGCGCATCCCTTCGCACCCCCTGCCTGAAGCAGAGGTCGTGCATTGCGGCCGGAGGAGAAACCCAGGTCCAACTTTTTCCTTTGCTGTTGCTTTTTTTTGAAGGCTGTGACTGTCCTGAGCCCCAGCTACTGCAGGGGAAGGTGACAGTGACCCGGCACCTGCAGTAGCGGCAGGGACCTTGGTGCCCACCCGTGTTTACTAACTCATTTAGGAGGTATTAAACCTGCTCGTGGCTCTAACAAGGTTTAATCCTTGCCGGCAACAGGTCCAACTTTTTCCTTTGCTGTTGCTTTTTTTTGAAGGCTGTGACTGTCCTGAGCCCCAGCTACTGCAGGGGAAGGTGACAGTGACCCGGCACCTGCAGTAGCGGCAGGGACCTTGGTGCCCACCCGTGTTTACTAACTCATTTAGGAGGTATTAAACCTGCTCGTGGCTCTAACAAGGTTTAATCCTTGCCGGCAACTTTCCCTTGCTGTGCCCATCTTGGGCTGGCACGCCAGGGCCAGAGAAAGCTGCGTCCGCATGATGTTGTGAAGGTCGTTTGCCCTGTCCCGCATCGTTCCCATCACCCGGAGACATTGCTTCAAGGCACAGGAGGAGCTGCGGGCGGGCCCTGCGGGCACTTCCCGCCACCCTCTGGTCTGGCACTTCTTCCCCCAACATCTTCCCATGCCTCGGCCTCACTCGTGGTAGCCATGACAATGGTAACCAAGCCAGTTTGGGATTGCTCTTGGGTTTTAATTAAGGTTTGCTTAATTCTTCTCCCGCCTCATTGCTGGAAGAGTGATGGGCAGCTGCGCTGTGTACCGACCACGCTGCACCCGTGCCTTTTTTTCCTTTATTGCCCCCAAATTAATGCCCAACGGTGGGTTAAACAAACCCGTGTGTTCGCGGGCGGCGTCTCGCCCGTCGATGCAGTTCCAGGTTGCTGCTACGGCATCCTGGGCGCGGGGGGTAAAGGGCTTTGCTGCAGTCGGTCTCTGCCAAGAGGATGACGACGTTTCCCAGTTTTCGATGCCGACCAGAGGTATAAGTGGGTCTGTCTGGTGCCAGCTCTCTTTAATGTCTCTGTGGGTTTCTCTGGCTTTTCCATCTAGAATCTGCTGACAGCGATTTGGCTAATTTATTTATGGGGGTAACTTACAGCCCTGTAACAGTCTCCTGCCTGCGT